TCATTTCCTGCTTCAGATAAGGAATGTGGTAATTCATTAAAATCTATCAATAAAACAAGTTAATAACTGATATTTATCAATCGAAGAGTTTTATCATAATGACATTATCATATATAATTTCAGATAATTGAGGACACACCGCTAGCCTATCCTGGACACACCGATAACCTATACTGGACACACCGCTAGCCTATACTGGACACACCACTAACCTATCCTGGACACACCGCTAGTCTATACTGGACACACCGCTAACCTATCCTTGGCACGCCGCTAGTCTATCCTGGACACACCGATAACCTATACTGGACACACCGCTAGCCTATCCTGGGCACACCGCTAGCCTATCCAGGACACACCGCTAACCTATCCAGGACACACCGCTAACCTATCCTGGACACACCACTAACCTATCCTGGACACACCGCTAGTCTATCCTGGACACACCGTTAGTCTATCCTGAGCACACCGCTAGCCTAACCTGGACACACCGCTAACCTATCCTGGGCACACCGCTAGTCTATCCTGGGCACACCGCTAGCCTATCCTGGGCACACCGCTAGTCTATCCTGGGCACACCGCTAGTCTATCCTGGGCACACCGCTAGTCTATCCTGGACACACCGCTAGTCTGTCCTGGGCACACCGCTAGCCTATCCTGGACACACCGCTAACCTATCCTGGGCACACCGCTCGTCTATTCTGGGCACACCGCTAGCCTATCCTGGACACACCGCTAGCCTATCCTGGGCACATCGCTAGTCTATCCTGGGCATATTGCTAGTCTATCCTGGGCACACCACTAACCTTTCCTGGACACTAGATTCTTTGAAATTGAGTTGGATTAGACGTTTAATTCAGAAGCCATCTAAGTGGCAATTAGTTTTTAATTCTCTATTTGATTTACAAAAACTTTCTACATGTGGGAGTGGGTATATTCAAGAGTGTTTGACAAACTGTAAGAACAAATTTTGGAAAGATGTATTCAAAGCTTGGGTAAGACTTAATGATTCTGTGGGAGTTAAAAAAATGCAAGAAAAGTTTATCTTAAGAATGCCATTGTGGCATGATAGAAATTTTACTATTGGAAAAAAGTCAGTTTTCTATAAAAATTGGTACAACAGAGGGGTAACAATTGTTAATGATCTTGTAAAAGATCACAATACATTATTGTTTTACATTTTTCAAGAATTCAAAGAGATGCACAGTATCAATACTAACTTTCTTCAATATCAGGGTTTAATTTCTTCTGTCAAGGTATATTTACAGAAAAGCAATATTGAATTTGATAAGCAATTAATTGTCTACCTACTAATTCCGAATAACATTGCCATTTTCTTAGATAGAACTAGAGGTTGTAGGGACATTTATAACCTGATGATTAAAAAAGTGATTATTTCCACTGGTAGAACAAAATGGGAGAGGACTTTTGAAGATAATGAATTGAACTGGTCCGACATTTATATAACTCCCTTCATAGTTACAAGAAACACCAAACTACAGTGGTTTCAACATAGGACAATACAACATATATTAACAACTAGTTCATTTTTGTTTAAAGCTGGTATAACTAGTAGTCCAATGTGTAACCTTTGTAATATGGAACGGGAAACAATTATTCATGTTCTATGGGAGTGCCATGAACCACAAACATTACTACAAAGTTTATAAACCCTTTTTGATGTACTCTTTATCCCATTTTCTTTTAATAAACAAAGATTTCTCTTTGGTAATTTATTACATAATGGCAATGATATATGTAATAAGACAGATAATGTAATTTTGATTTTAATCAAATTTTACATATACAAAACAAGATGTCTACATAAAGCCTTAAATCTGACAGTTTTAATCAGTTCAATTAAAGAGTATTATATGTGTCAAAAAAGTATTGCTTATAGTGAAGGGGAGCTTTCCCAACAGAAGTTTAGGGCTGAATGGATAAAATAGGAGAAACCATTAGAAATCTCAGACTAATTCATCTGTTAATATATTTGTGAACTTCCAGGGTACATTTTAAGAGCTTTGATATCTTTTCATTGTATACAGGTATATATTTATTGAATAATTTGTATTTCACTAGGTTGTTCATTTTCATTTAGTAGTTCTTCCGAGAAATTTATTTTATCCCACCAGACGCTAATTTTTTGTTTTGATTTTTTTGATCAGATCTCACCTTTAGCCCAGTAAACTCCCTCTCTCCCTCTCTCTCTCCATATTATTTACTCTCTCCATTTCAATACATTTTCATAGTGGCTTTTTTCTCTCATTTTGTGGTATGTGTGGGGGTGAAAGTTTGTGTACTTGTATATCTAGTAAAAATGATGATGATGATGACAGAGTGAGTGAAAATGATTGTACATGACATGATGATGATTGTACAATGGATGATGATGATGATGATGATGATGATGATGTCTGTACAATGTTAGGATGCATGAGGTGTACAATTGCTATGATGTGTGGGGTGTGCAAGGTTGTTTATCTGTATGTTTAAAATGCTTTGAAAAATAAAATGAATATAAAAAAACCTTTCCTGGACACACAGGCCAACCTATCCTGGACACACGGACTAACCTATCCTGGACACACCGCTAGCTTATCCTGGACACACCGCTAGTCTATCCCGGACACACCTCTAGTATATCCTAGACACTTCGCTAACCTATCCTGGACATACCGCTTCCTTATCCTGGACACACCACTAACCTATCCCTGACACACTGCTAACCTTTCCTGGACACTCCACTAACCTATCCTGAACACACCTTTAGTATATCCTGGACACACCGCTAACATATCCTGGACACACCTTTAGTATATCCTGGGCACACCGCTAGCCTATCCTGGACACACCGCTAACCTATCCTGGGCACACCGCTAGTCTATCCTGGGCACACCGCTAGTCTATCCTGGGCACACCACTAACCTTTCCTGGACACACCGCTAGTCTATCCTGGGCACACCGCTAGCCTATCCTGGACACACCGTTAGTCTATCCTAGGCACACCGCTAGTCTATCCTGGACACACAGCTAGTCTATCCTGGGCACACCGCTAGCCTATCCTGGACACACCGCTAGTCTATCCTGGACACACCGCTAACCTATCCTGGACACACCGCTAGCCTATCCTGGACACACCGCTAGCCTATCCTGGACACACCGATAGCCTATCCTGGGCACACCGCTAGACTATCCTGGACACACCGCTAACCTATCCTGGACACACCGCTAGCCTATCCTGGACACACCGCTAGCCTATCCTGGACACACCTCTAGCCTATCCTGGACACACCGCTAACCTATCCCGGACAATCCTCTAGTATATCCTGGACACACCGCTAACCTATCCCGGACAATCCTCTAGTATATCCTGGACACACCGCTAACCTATCCTGGACACACCGCTAGTCTATCCTGGACACACCGCTAGTCTATCCTGTGCACACCTTTAATATATCCTTGGCACACCGCTAGCCTATCCTGGATACACCTCTAGCCTATCCTGGACACACCGCTAACCTATCCCGGACAATCCTCTAGTATATCCTGGACACACCGCTAACCTATCCTGGACAATCCTCTAGTATATCCTGGACACACCGCTAACCTCTCCCGGACAATCCTCTAGTATATCCTGGACACACCGCTAACCTATCCTGGACAATCCTCTAGCATATCCTGGACACACCGCTAACCTATCCTGGACACACCGCTAACCTATCCTGGACACACCGCTAGTCTATCCTGGACACACCGCTAACCTATCCTGGATACACCGCTAACCTATCCTGGGCACACCGCTAGCCTATCCTGGGCACACCGCTAGTCTATCCTGTGCACACCTTTAGTATATCCTTGGCACACCGCTAGTCTATCCTGAACACACCGCTAGTATATCCTGGGCACACCGCTAACCTATCCTGGACACACCGCTAACCTATTCTGGGCACACCGCTAGTCTATCCTGGGCACACCGCTAACCTGTCCTGGATAATAAACCCGTCTAACAGGTGGTTGATAATATTGCGTTGATCTGACTTTTAAGGTCAGTAGAGTTGAACACATTAGTGATATATACATGGATGTGTAATCATTTTGAAATCACAAAATGTAAACTGGAAAAAAATAGTTTCAACAAATTATTTCTTGAGTGAACGACATATTTTTTTCTCTAATAATTAATATTTATGAAAATTTTATCTTCACATATAGAAAGACCTATTTATATTGATCACCAGAAAGTTTAATGAATTTAGTCACAAGCTGATAATGTTTGACACCACAGTATTGTTACCTAGTATACATTTAACTAGAACATTCGTTAGATCGTTATATGTCTTTACTGTAAGAAAGCAACTCTCTGACATATTACGCGTTGTTTTTAAAACACACAGTTTGCGGAGGAGTCATTTGACTTGTTTTTAAAAAATATATTACATTAAAGTCAATTTAAACTGGTTGCTTTTAAAACGAAAGCACACAGGATGACACCGGATGTGTGCGTGTCGATTTCTGAACAATACAAATTTAAACACAAGTAACTTTATACATAGTCTAAAAAATATTAAAGTAAATCCAGCCTAGCGTTACAAAAATTTACATATTTTAAGCAGAATTTACAAATTCTCTAAAATACAGTTAAAAGTGTTGTTTTTTCTTTTTTAAAATTATTATCAGGCAATATGAATAACATTGAAAAATCAACATTCATTTCATGAAGTCTGTCTCGGTTTAAACATAACAATGTTGGACATTATCGTTATTATAGATTTGAATAAATAAATATTACTAACTATTAGAAGAGTTGATATGGAAACAGCTGTTGTTACAATATAGCCACAGTCCAAAATGATTTCCACTATTCTGCTCAATTCTCCAATAGGAGGATGAAAACCCATATAGATGAAGACATAAGCCCACAGCTATCATCAGTCCCGAAACTGCCGTCAAACGTACATCCATGGTACACTTTCTGCTGGAGGTCCTCACACCTGTACCATGTTTACTTAAACTGATACGGACACAGCCTACTTCTTCAGTGTTTTGGTTACACGTGCTTGTAAAATCATCCGAATCATTCTCCAGGATTTCGATCTCTGTCCCGAACCCGTGAAGTCTGTCTTTGTTTTCAGTTCCAACAATCTGTGTTTCAACCTTTGTTGACCGGCGAGGGATCATGTCATTGGCTAGTCTGCCATCTTGAGATTTAAACATTGCTTCCTGTTTCTACTTATAGTAAAACATGTTCATGATTGTAATCACTGGCTGGTTAAGTTTAAATTTACGACATTACAGATATTTTGCTAGGTGAGGACATGTATTTTATGACCGTATTCTGTGACTATATCTCATTATGTATGTCCCAATTCTGCATGTTCGTGTGTGTGTTTTTTAACTCGATAACAATAGTTAAAGCTTCTGATTGAAAACATGTAATATTTGCTATTGTAATGAGACAATGACGTACCGGTTATATACTTGTCACGGTGTGATTAAGTAAAGTCGTTTGAATAAGCTGCCAGAATATCATACATTCACAGTAGAGGAATTGAACTCATACAGATTGGTGGAAGATATCCATTCAACATTTTCTTTTATCTGGGTATGCTGTAATGTTTGTAAGATAACTGACATATTTCTATGCTATGTCTGACCTGGGTATGCTGTAATGTTTAACTGATATATGTCTATGCTATGTCTGACCTGGGTATGCTGTAATGTTTATAAGATAACTGACATATTACTAAGATATATCTGACCTGGGTATGCTGTAATGTTTAACTGATATATGTCTATGCTATGTCTGACCTGGGTATGCTGTAATGTTTGTAAGATAACTGATATATGTCTATGCTATGTCTGACCTGGGTATGCTGTAATGTTTGTAAGATAACTGATATATGTCTATGCTATGTCTGACCTGGGTATGCTGTAATGTTTGTAAAGATAAGATACCTGGGTATGCTGATATATGTCTATATGTCTGATGGGTATGCTGTAATGTTTGTAAGATAACTGATATATGTCTATGCTATGTCTGACCTGGGTATGCTGTAATGTTTGTAAGATAACTGATATATGTCTATGCTATGTCTGACCTGGGTATGCTGATAATGTTGATATGTGACCTGGGTATGCTGTAATGTTTGATAACTGATATATGTCTGATATATGTCTATGCTATGTCTGACCTGGGTATGCTGTAATGTTTGTAAGATAACTGATATATGTCTATGCTATGTCTGACCTGGGTATGCTGTAATGTTTGTAAGATAACTGATATATGTCTATGCTATGTCTGACCTGGGTATGCTGTATTGTTTGTAAGATAACTGATATATGTCTATGCTATGTCTGACCTGGGTATGCTGTAATGTTTGTAAGATAACTGATATATGTCTATGCTATGTCTGACCTGGGTATGCTGTAATATTTGTAAGATAATTGATATATTTCTATGATATGTCTGACCTGGGTATGCTGTAATGTTTGTAAGATAACTGATATATTTCTATGCTATGTCTGACCTGGGTATGCTGTAATGTTTGTAAGATAACTGATATATTTCTATGCTATGTCTGACCTGGGTATGCTGTAATGTTTAACTGATACATTTCTATGATATGTCTGACCTGGGTATGCTGTAATGTTTAACTGATACATTTCTATGATATGTCTGACCTGGGTATGCTGTAATGTTTAACTGATATATTTCTATGCTATGTCTGACCTGGGTATGCTGTAATGTTTGTAAGATAACAGATATATTTCTATGCTATGTCTGACCTGGGTATGCTGTAATGTTTGTAAGATAACTGATATATTTCTATGCTATGTCTGACCTGGGTATGCTGTATATGTATGCTGTAAGATAACTGATATATTTCTATGCTATGTCTGACCTGGGTATGCTGTAACGTTTGTAAGATAACTGATATATTTCTATGCTATGTCTGACCTGGGTATGCTGTAATGTTTAACTGACATATTTCTATGCTATGTCTGACCTGGGTATGCTGTAACGTTTGTAAGATAACTGATATATTTCTATGCTATGTCTGACCTGGGTATGCTGTAATGTTTGTAAGATAACTGATATATTTCTATGCTATGTCTGACCTGGGTATGCTGTAATATTTGTAAGATAACTGACATATTTCTATGCTATGTCTGACCTGGGTATGCTGTAATGTTTAACTGACATATTTCTATGCTATGTCTGACCTGGGTATGCTGTAATGTTTGTAAGATAACTGATATATTTCTATGCTATGTCTGACCTGGGTATGCTGTAATGTTTGTAAGATAACAGATATATTTCTATGCTATGTCTGACCTGGGTATGCTGTAATGTTTGTAAGATAACTGATATATGTCTATGCTATGTCTGACCTGGGTATGCTGTAATGTTTGTAAGATAACTGATATATTTCTATGATATGTCTGACCTGGGTATGCTGTAATGTTTGTAAGATAACTGATATATTTCTATGCTATGTCTGACCTGGGTATGCTGTAATGTTTGTAAGATAACTGATATATTTCTATGCTATGTCTGACCTGGGTATGCTGTAATGTTTGTAAGATAACATATATTTCAGATATATTTCTATGCTATGTCTGACCTGGGTATGCTGTAACGTTTGTAAGATAACTGATATATTTCTATGCTATGTCTGACCTGGGTATGCTGTAATGTTTGTAAGATAACTGATATATTTCTATGCTATGTCTGACCTGGGTATGCTGTAATGTTTGTAAGATAACTGATATATTTCTATGCTATGTCTGACCTGGGTATGCTGTAATGTTTAACTGACATATTTCTATGCTATGTCTGACCTGGGTATGCTGTAATGTTTAACTGATATATTTCTATGCTATGTCTGACCTGGGTATGCTGTAATGTTTGTAAGATAACTGATATATTTCTATGATATGTCTGACCTGCGTATGCTGTAATGTTTGTAAGATAACAGATATATTTCTATGCTATGTCTGAGTATGCTGTAATGGGTAATGATATATTTCTATGCTATGTCTGACCTGGGTATTGTAATGTTTGTAAGATAACTGATATATTTCTATGCTATGTCTGACCTGGGTATGCTGTAACGTTTGTAAGATAACTGATATATTTCTATGCTATGTCTGACCTGGGTATGCTGTAATGTTTAACTGATATATTTCTATGCTATGTCTGACCTGGGTATGCTGTAATGTTTGTAAGATAACTGATATATTTCTATGCTATGTCTGACCTGGGTATGCTGTAATGTTTGTAAGATAACTGATATATTTCTATGCTATGTCTGACCTGGGTATGCTGTAATGTTTGTAAGATAATTGATATATTTCTATGCTATGATATATTTCTATGCTGATATATGTCTGACCTGGGTATGTAATGTTTGTAAGATAACTGATATATTTCTATGCTATGTCTGACCTGGGTATGCTGTAATGTTTGTAAGATAACTGATATATTTCTATGCTATGTCTGACATGGGTATGCTGTAATGTTTATCTGATATATTTCTATGCTATGTCTGACCTGGGTATGCTGTAATGTTTGTAAGATAACTGATATATTTCTATGCTATGTCTGACCTGGGTATGCTGTAATGTTTGTAAGATAACTGATATATGTCCATGCTATGTCTGACCTGGGTATGCTGTAATGTTTGTAAGATAACTGATATATTTCTATGCTATGTCTGACCTGGGTATGCTGTAATGTTTGTAAGATAACTGATATATTTCTATGCTATGTCTGACCTGGGTATGCTGTAATGTTTGTAAGATAACAGATATATTTCTATGCTATGTCTGACCTGGGTATGCTGTAATGTTTGTAAGATAACTGATATATTTCTATGCTATGTCTGACCTGGGTATGCTGTAATGTTTGTAAGATAACTGATATATGTCTATGCTATGTCTGACCTGGGTATGCTGTAATGTTTGTAAGATAACAGATATATTTCTATGCTATGTCTGACCTGGGTATGCTGTAATGTTTGTAAGATAACTGATATATTTCTATGCTATGTCTGACCTGGGTATGCTGTAATGTTTGTAAGATAACTGATATATTTCTATGCTATGTCTGACCTGGGTATGCTGTAATGTTTGTAAGATAACTGATATATTTCTATGCTATGTCTGACCTGGGTATGCTGTAATGTTTGTAAGATAACTGATATATTTCTATGCTATGTCTGACCTGGGTATGCTGTAATGTTTGTAAGATAACTGATATATTTCTATGCTATGTCTGACCTGGGTATGCTGTAATGTTTGTAAGATAACTGATATATGTCTATGCTATGTCTGACCTGGGTATGCTGTAATGTTTGTAAGATAACTGATATATGTCTATGCTATGTCTGACCTGGGTATGCTGTAATGTTTGTAAGATAACTGATATATTTCTATGCTATGTCTGACCTGGGTATGCTGTAATGTTTGTAAGATAACTGATATATTTCTATGCTATGTCTGACCTGGGTATGCTGTAATGTTTGTAAGATAACTGATATATGTCTATGCTATGTCTGACCTGGGTATGATGTAATGTTTCAGCGCTTGATTATTATATCAAAAAGCAATGTAAGAAATTTCTAGAATCATTTTTACAGTCGGAAGATTACAATACAACTATTAAAAGTACTTACATGTTTACATCACCCTTGAAATAGCACAGAGTGGTATTAGCATTTCAAACACTGATTTTTAATTTTTTTTTACTATGTGACGTCATTAAAATTAATAGCTTCCTGTTCTTTGCAAATTTATATTTAGAAATGAATCTGGACTGTTTTTTTATTTTCTTATTGCCTTCATTTATGTGATAAATCACACTGGTGTAAGAGAACTAATGTAATATATGTAATCTAAGTAACTAGTGAACAACATCAGATGGTGCTTGACTGAAAGATCATAGCAAATCATTGTAAACATCGATTATAGATTAAATATGATAAAGCTTCTTTTGAGTCCTAAAAGAAGGAAACAACTGCGTTTTAGTTCTATTTTTTTATGGAAAGGTTTACTGTACTTACAGGTATGTCGTATGGTATTTTCAGATTTCCTTGACACACACACACACACAATAATAATTATAAAAATTAGATCTCGTCAAAATATGCCATTATTATATGCGTTACAAAAAATAACACACAAGACTTTTATTCCCACTTTTGGCTGTGAAT